GGCAGAAGCAATGGCTTAGGCCCAGTGATGTCTGGTAACACTGCATATCCAGTTATCAGCTGTCCTCCCCTCACATCAGACTGGGGAGCTCAGGATGTGTGGTCTTCTCTGAGACTACCCAGTGGTAAGATGCACTGACATTTTTTAACTGCTTATTATGGACATTTCAAACATGCACAGCAGTACAAAGAATAATATAATGAAATCTTACTGACTATTACCCAGCCTCAGCAATTACTGTTTTGTTTTATTTTAAAGCAAATTTTAAATGTAGTATTTTATACTTACATACCAAAGTTTGTTTTTTGTTTTGTTTTGTTTTTTCGTTTTTTTCGTGGTACCAGGGATGGAACTTGGGACCTTTTGCTTGCCAGACAAGCACTTATTCCACTGAGCTACCTCCCCAGGCCCCCAAATTTGTGATAAAGATTGGTTTATTTTGTTCTTAAATCATAATCATACAACCAGAACAAAACTGTTGTGCCTTCTATTTATCTAAGATTCCACTCTTGGCAATTGTTTACAGAAAAATAAATCTAGATTTGTTTTGTTAGATTCAGAGATACAAAATCATAATCATGATACTATACTCATCATCTCCAAAAATTAGTAATAATATGTAAAAATATCTTCTAGTTGATGTTCAAATATTTTCAGTTGTCTCACTTTTTTTTTCATAGTTGGTATGTTTAAATTGAGCTTTAATACAGTCTTTACATTCATTTTATTACTATCTCTTAGGTCTTGTTTAATCTAAAATTTTAATCTTTTTCCTGTTTCTTTGCTATTTGTTTTGTTGTTGTTGAGGCAGTGTCTTGCTACGTAGGTCAGGCTGGCTTTGAACTCAACTGTGTAGCCCAGACTAGCCTGTAGCTTCCATCCTCCTGTGTAAGGCTCCTGAGTGCTGGGATTACATGCATGTACCACTACACCTGGCTTTATTTCTCTTGCAGAATTTTCCACATTAGTTTATTGCATTCCTAGGTGATGGTAAATATTCTCTTTCATTCCTGTAGATTTTATAAGCTGGTGTTAAGATTTAAAAATCAAATTCAGATTTTTTTTTTTTTTCAAGAATATACTGCCATGTGTGTTGGTACCCATTTGTAATCCCAGAACTTGGGAGGCTGAGGCAGGAGGATCACTGGGAATTCAAGGCCAATCTAAAATATTATATATAGGGAGACACTGTCTCAAAAAAACCAAAAGGAAAAAAATAACGCATCATTTGTGATGTTGTGTTGTTTTAAAGCAAAGGTGATTGTCACTTCTGGAAAAAAATTGACTTTAAAAATTGAGGATAAAAGTAACATAAAAGGAAATTATCTTTGGCCTAATGGAGCTGGGTCTCATAGCATTATTATAGTATGTTCATCATTACCTAAGATAAAATATTGTATGGCATCCTGCAAAATCAGTATTATTTCTTGTTTGTGTGTGTATGTGTCCTTTGAGACAGAGTCTCACTATGCCATTCAGGCTGGCCTTGATCTCCCTTTGTAGCCCAGGCTGGTCTCACACTCACAACAATTCTTCCTCAGCCTCTTGAATGCCAGGGATTACAGGTGTGCATCACCATGCCTGACTGTCTGAAATAATATTATGACTGACTGAAATATTATTATTTCATTAGGAAGTAATTTCCTTATTTCTCAAACCTCAGTCTGTTCTCAGTTGTGTAAATCTGATATGTGTCAAACACATTAAGTATCTGAGCCCTCTGACATTTTCCAGAATAGACTGGCTGCCCTCTAGGATTGCTTCAGTGCTGTTGTCTTAGCATCTACCTTTACTGTCATTTTGGAGATACATTTTGCCTTTTGTTAGTCTTAGATCTGTAGCTTCCTAGGTCCTATGTGTTCCCCTTTTGTGGTTTCCTTTTTATTTTATTAGAGCACATTCTTTGTTAACAATTTCCTGACAAAAGAGTACAAAAGGTAAACCTTGAGCTCAAGCTCTGTACTTACTTGCTCATTTAGGAATAGAATTATAGGTGGAAAATCATTTTTCCCTAGAATTTTGAGAGCAACTTCATTGCCTCTGTACCTTTCTGATTCCAGGTCTTTTATGAATTTTGTTCCCTTCTAGAAACTTTCAGAATGTTTTAGTATTTTCATTTTTCATTGCTTTTGAATTTCTCAGTCTTTCAGTGTGATACTTTGATTCTTGAGGCATGGTGAATTTTATTGAATTACTTAATTTTCTTAGACCTCCATATTCTCCCTATTTTGAGTTATTCAAATTTGGCTGTCCTTGAATTCTGCCCTATTTTCCTTTTGTTACAATGCTTTCTGTAATATTCCAGCCCTTCTATTGAGGTTTTCATTTGAATATATTTATGTTTTCAAATGCTCGTTTGTGTATCTTGTTTTTTTTTCCTGCAGCATCCTTGTTTAATCTTTGCAGTAGCGTCTTCTTTCTAAGCTTGGTATAGTCTTACTAGTCCTTCCTTCACTCTCAGATGTTTCTGTGTGAGTGGGAGAATATAGAAAGCTCGCTGGCACCGCTTTGCTGCACCACGACCTCATGACATTGTTCTTGGAATAGCCCCTCACATCAGCGTCAAGGTCTTCTCTCAGATATTGTCCAAAATCACCAGAGAACTTCAGTCTTGGCTCCTGCTGGCTGAGTGAACCTGGCTGCGAGAATTCTGGGAACTTAGTGGGAGAGACAGTGTCTTGGAGTAGGCATATTTCATAGCAGCCTTCCCTTTCTGAGTTGTGCCTACAGTCCCCAGTCCCAAGAAGCCTGAAGTCTTACTCATCTTCAGATCAATTGAAAACTGCTACCTGATTTATAAGGCACTATTGATCAAGTGGGAATTATGGTTCTTATTCTTCTGTCAGTGAGTCCTTTCCTTTGTAGTGCCCCTTTCAATTCCATACTCTGCGAAACTAAAGATTCCTTCATTTGCCTTGAGGCTGCCAAAATGCTATTACCTTGCTGTCCTTGTATGTTCACATGTATTTTCTTTATTCCCTTTACTGTTGGCTTTACATGATTCCAAAGATAAATCTTGTGCTTAATTCATCTTTAACTAGATCTTTAACTAGACATTCTGTTATAAATCATTAAATCTAAGATGTCTAGCTAGGGCTGGGGATATAGCTTAGCAGCGGGGCACCTCTCTACAAGTGTAAGATCCTGAGTTCAATATATGGTATCAAAAGAAAAAAATTTGTACCTATAAATAAAGCTATTAACCAAATTTACACCAGAGGAACTGTATAGGTAGTTTCCATTGAACTTAGAAAAGGGGCAATGTGATAATCAAGTTTGCCAGGTTTTTTTCTAATAGTATTTGAGGGAAGAGAGAATCTGGAAGTTTTGTACATTATCACTCAGATTGGAAGTAATGCTTTGAAGAAGGATTTTTCTCTTAACACCTGCTCACTAGATAACCTTATTTAAAAAACTAAATCAGAAAAGGAGCCCTGGGCAATAGTCACATGTATTTCAGGTATTAAAGCAGAGCAGTCTTTGGGCTGGGGAGATGGCTCAGTAGAATAAATGCTTTAGGGCCTGAGTTCAATCCCCGGTTCTGCCAAAAAAATAAATTAAGTAGAGCAGTCTATCTAGTATGCAAATAATGATGGTTGGCACTCATTGAGTACTTACTTAATGCCAGACAGTACTCCAAGCACTGTCTATATGGTCAGTAACTCAGAGAGGAGCACTAATTATCCTCCCCATTTTATAGAAAAGGACATGAATATTACTATTAAGCCACCTGGCCACTTCCACATAGACACAGAAGTAATTTACTAATAGAAATTGGTATTAATGTCATTTTCTTCTGAAACTTTTTTTGATACCAGGGATTAAACTCGGGGATGTCACATGCTTTCCAGACAGGCATTTATGCCACTGAGCTACATCCCCAGCCTCATTAATGTGATTTGTATATTAGGCTTTTGTTCTGTTTGCAGCGTTCAAACCCAGCATCTCAATAATGTTGGACAAATGTTATACTACTGGGCTCTTATCTATAGCCCATAATTTTGTCTGTTTTTATTGTAAATAGAGCCAAAGCCATAGCCACACAAGTAAGGTGCCTATACTCCGAAAGAGTGAATCAGATAGATTTCACGTTCAAGTACTGCAGTTTAACAATTTAGCAGGACTCTGTTTGAAAATAAAAACTTTTTAAAAGAGTTGTTACATGTGAAGGCCCTGGATTCAATCCATACTACTGCCAAAAAAGATGACAACGAAGCATGATGTCAAAGATATTGGAAAACTAGAGCTTTTGGATCTATATTTTATTTTTTAGGCGAAACTGGGGGTTGAACTCAAGCCTTTGTGCTTGCTAGGGAAGTGCTTATTCCACTGAGCCATCTCCCCAGCCCACTTTTGGATCTATAAACTAGGTAGTAGTCCTTGTGTAGTAGTGCCATCTCAAGTAACTGCCTGAGCAGACTTGGCCTCCTGAGAAACTTACCTTGGTTTTCTACTGCCTTTTAGCATTAATTGCTTGACATTTACAATTATTTGGAATTGATTCTGGGTTTTGTTTTGTTTTGTTTTTAATGCTTAGAAACGTTAGGATAATTCAAATGCAAAGACAGAAAGGATTAGCCAGAAAATTATCGGAACAATTAATATACCTCACTTAAGCATTAGTGATTCTATTTAGCTTGTCCTTTGTTTTACTCTATGGCTTGTCTTCAGGACTTAAAGGAGCAGTGTGTATGAAAAGAAGTTTAAAAAAATAAATTCATGGATCTAGGGGCATAGCTCAGTGGCTCCGTGCCACCCTGGCAAGCACGAGGTCCTGAATTCGACTCCCAGTTCAAAAAAAAAAAAGAACGATTAGTGGCTTGCTGGTTAGCTCAGTTGTTTAAGTGCTTGCTTAGGCAAACCCAGACAGGTACAGGGGCCGCGGTTCGATCCCCAGCTGCACATGCCACATCAGACCCTCCCTTTCGGCAACCTGAGCCAGCCAAAAAAAAAAAAAAAAGTTTAAAGTAAATCCCTGTGCAAGTCGATTCACTGAGAAGAGTGATAGATAATGCATATAAAATCTCTCTTCCTGGCAGAATAATACTACTTCTCTAACGGTTATATTACAACTCCTGCATTAGAGAAATCATTCTGCAAATCCTGCTTTACAAAAGCTATTATTTTAGTCTGTAGCTTTTCATAATCTGTAGCAAACAGATCTCTGGTTTTTAGTTTCTTTGTTTGTTTTGCACTGCTGTGGATTGACTCGGGCCTCATGAATGCCAATCGTGTGCTCTTAACACTGAGGTATAGCCTTTGCCCCATTAGTTTTTCATTATTAACTGACATCTAAATTTTCTGTTATTCCTTTCCACACCAATAGGTCTCGGCTGTTCGACCATACTTTCTCCAGAAGGATCAGCTCAATTTGCTGCTCAGATATTTGGATTAAACAACCACTTGGTATGGGCCAAGCTGCGAGCAAGCATATTGAATACATGGATTTCCTTGAAACAGGCTGACAAGAAA